AGAGAGAGAGAACGGTAAGTCAGTCCTCCAACTGAAAGCCTCTGTCAGACTGTCCCTTAGCAACAGTTTGTCTGGGTCTTGCCTCTGGGTTCTTGGTGACACAGGACTGTGATCCATGTTCCCGTGCAGAGCAGAGAGCCCGGAGTTAGAGGAAAGGCGGGTTTCTAGTTTTCTGGTCCCTTCCCAGAGAGGAAGGGTCAGGCTTTGGAAGGTTGGGGTCCAGAGGCTTAGGAAACTCCGGAGGCGGACAAAGGTGTGTGACCAGACAAAGGTGTGTGACTCAGATCCCAGTTAGGACGGATGCCCCACCCAGCCCAGGCAGAAAGGTGACATGGATGGGGTGTCCCCAGAGGACAGCCTCAAGGCTGGACTGTGAGAGTGGAGGGGAGGCACTGGGCAGGGTCAGAGGGAGAAGCCACCCACTGCCATAGCTCCTGGTGGCCCTGCTCCTTCCCTCCCTGCTCCTCTCTCGCTCCCTCAGGGACCCAGGCACCAGGGAGTTGATTCCCGAGGGCAGAGGCTATCTGAGCCCAGCGCAGGTGACCAGAGGAAGCTCCCGGCTCCTGGTGCCTCCTTGTTGCACGGAGGGTCATGAAGCTGCTAAAGAAGGAAACGTTCCACCTGCAGTTTAACAACCTGCACCGGGCGCCCAGGCCCTACTGCCGCCGGAAGACCTACCTGTGCTACCAGCTGCGGCTCCAGGGCTCCCTGTGTGACCAGGACTACTTTCAAAACAAGGTGCCGGGCCATGGCTCGGGCTCAGGGGGCAGGGAGGGTTGCCTCCCAGGAGCCTGGAGCCTGGGGGATGGTCCTGAACTGCCCTTGAACTCCCCCCACCCGGTGACCTTGGCTGGGTCCCAGCCCTGGACTGGCCAGAGGCCTGTACCCCAGAGCGCTCTTCCTTCCCCCCAGGAGGACGCGCTTGGGCTGCCGGGTCTCCGCTCGCTGCTCTGAGGAAGCAGAGTCCTGGCCCAAGAGCTGAGCTCCGCCAGGCTCCTTGGTGGCCCACCAGCCTTGGGCGCTTCCCCTCCCACCTGCTCCTGAGGCTCCTGGGCTGAAACACAGTGTCCTTTGGTCACTCTTGAGCAAAAGTCCCAAGGAGAGGCTTGACTGTGCCGTGGGGGTGGGGTCTGTCTGCCGACCCCTCCCCTCGGGGTGCGGGGATCCTCGTGGGACTTGGGGTGTTGGGTTTGTGGGTGAGTGGAAGGGGGGCCATGACTCGGCTGGACAAGCCTCCACACTAGAAGGTGGACAAGACTCAGCCCCACAGCCCCATCCCGGCCCCAGTCGTGTGACATGGAACCCTCCTTCTCTCTGCCGGCGTCCCCCCTCCAGAAGGATCTCCACGCAGAGATTCGTTTCATAAAGAAGATCCGTTCCTTGGACTTGGACCAGAGCCACAACTACGAAGTCACCTGCTACCTCACCTGGAGCCCCTGCCCCGACTGCGCCCAGGAGCTGGTGGCGCTCACACGAAGCCACCCCCACGTGCGGCTGACGCTCTTCACCTCCCGCCTCTACTTCCACTGGCTCTGGAGGTTCCAGGAGGGGCTGCGGCTCCTGTGGCGATCCGGGGTTCAGATCAGGGTCATGAGTCTCCGAGGTAGGGAGGAGGGATCGGGCTGTCAGTGTCCACAGGAACAGGGGACCGCCACAGGGGCCCGGCAGGTGGACAGAAGAGGGACTGGGCAGGAAGGAAGCCCCTGCAAAGCCCAAGATTTGACGCCTCCTGGAAGGAGGATCCTGGGGACAGGAGATGCCCCTGCGCGGAGGGTGGGGCAGGAAGGGACCTGTCCCCAGGCGCGGCTCCCCACTACATTTCAGAGTTCACCCACTGCTGGGTCAAGTTTGTGAACCACGGGGGATGTCCCTTTGAGCCTGAGCTCTGGGACGGGCTGGAGCAACGCAGCCAAAGCATACAAAATCGCCTCAATCGCATCCTGGGGTTGACACCTGTCACTGCCACCTGTGCCACCTCCTGTCCCCACTCATGCTGCTCAGGTACTCTCTTCCTCCTCCTCTCTCCCTACAGCCCCCACGTCTCTCTTTTCTCTAGACACCCTCTCCCAGTTCTTCCTGGTCTCCCTTTTCTCAGATGCTCCGGCCCCCTCTCTGCAGCTCCTCCTCTGTGGCCTCCTCTCTGCGCCTCTCCAGGCCCCTGTGGCCTTGTCCGTCGTCCCTGGAGCACAGTCACCTCCATGCTCCTCTTCCTCACGGGCGCTTCTCACCCACCGGCACATCCTGATTTCTTCTCTCGCAGCAGTGCTGAGTCTGCATGATCTGACAGCTAACTTCAGAAACCTGCAGCTCTGACCCGCATCACCCTCCGCAGTAAGAAGGGACTCTGGGAGCAGAGAGCATGGCGGACCCCGCGCTGGTGGCCTTTGGGAGGAAGTACCACGCCCCACAAGTCCAGAAGGCCTGGCTTTCCCCCTTCATGTATTTGTGTTATAAGTGGGTGTCTGATTTTATGATTAAAATACTCAAGGTCATTTTAAAGTCTGTAAAAACTGGGTTATTTTTTAAGGAGGGGATGGGGCTATATCTGTTCTCCATCACCAAGGGGGAAATGTTTGGAGAATTCCCTGAAAAGTGTGGGATAGTTGGGTCATTTTGTGGTCCAAGTATCCTCTGTCCCTTCTCGGGCTCTAATCACGTGTCTAAATGAATAGATGAAAACTACTGAGCACAGGTAGGCGCTTGGTAGAGTTGATTTTATTATTTTATTTTATTTTTTGAGTTGATTTTAAAAAATGAAAGCCAAACCATTTTGGAATTGCCTTATTCAGGCTTCTTGGTTAGAGCAACAAGCAGCAACTCCGGCCAATTAAAAGAAAACAAAACAAAAATTTAATTAAAAAGATGTTGGTTGAGATGGGTGCACTGGTACACACCAAGGATCCCAGCAGCTCGGGAGGCTGAGGCAGGAGCATCGTGAATTCAAAGCCACCCTCAGCAAAAGCGAGGTGCTAAGCAGCTCAGTGAGACCCTGTTTCTAAATAAAATATAAACTAGGGCTGGGGATGTGGCTCAGTGGTTGGGTGCCCCTGAGTTCAATCCCCAGTACACCCCATCCCCCCCAAAAAAAGATGCTGGGTGGCTCAGTGATAATCCAGAAGACAGAAGATGACATTCCAAGGCTGCAAAGTCAGGAAGGAGCCTAAAGCTCTGTTGCAAAGCTGGTCTGAAGACAGCACAGTTTCTCTGGCTCGAGGTTCCACACTCACTGCCCACACCTGGACACAGGACACCACCCAGAACCTCTGCCTTGGCGACCTCCACTGTGAACACCCCTCCAGAAAGGAAAAGCAGAGAGGAAGTAAGTTGCAATAAATAATGAACATGGCACGGAATGAAAGGGGAAAAGCGAGTGTACCACACTAAATGCGAACAGAACAAATTCTTCCTTGTTGTTTAATAAGAAACATCTATAAAAAGAAGAGAAATAGCAGCTGAAGATAAAGGAATGAACAGAGAGATACCAGGCAAATTAAAATTTAAGAAGAAAGCAAGAGTGGCACTATTATTCCAGGTGGTGTTTGAGGCATCCAACGTGGTGAAGAAGGGCTTAATGTAACAACACGAAGGAACAATTAAAAAATAAGATATAGGACAGGCATGGTGGCACGCACCTGTAATCCCAGCGTCTTGGGAGGCTGAGGCAGGAGGATCGCAAGTTCAAAGTCAACCTCAGCAACTTAGTGAGGCCCTAAGCAACTGAGCAAGACCCTGTCTCCAAATAAAAAGGGCTGGGGATGGGATTCAGTGGTTAAGCATCCCTGAGTACAACCCTGTACCAAAAAAGAAATGAAAAACCATGGAGGTGCCCTGTTTGCACAGGGGTGTCCAGAGTTGTTTCCCAGGACTTTGTCTGTTGGGCTCACCTGCCAGGAACTCAGAGGCCGTCATAGCTGAGGTCCTGGGAGGCCTGTCTCCTGCTGGAGCTGTGGGTAGGTCCTTCAGGGTGCTGGAGGCTTCTACTGACCCTTCAGAGGAAGGCCTGGGGCTAGGCAGAGTGCCACAGGGTCAGATCCCCGCCGTCGTCCCCTGGGAGGCAACGTGTGAATCTGAGAAGACGAAGCTGCGGCTGGGTGAAGGCCCCAGGATTGAAGAGATGCCCCGGAAGAGAACTGCTGGCTGCAGAGAGCACCAGGCAGAGAGAGGCAAGGTCCCACGCCAGCAAGGCCAAAGGGCAGGACGGCTGGAGCCCCCTGGAGGTCACTGCCTGCCACCACGTGCCACAGACGCTGGATGTGGCTCTACAGGAAATGTCTGCCCAGCTGTGTTCAGGTCTGGCCGTGTCCCATCCCTTCTCTCTGTGCCTCTGTTTCTACTCTTTGGAAGGAGGTGTTTACCCTCTGCTGTTCTGTGTTGCTCTCAGGGACTCACAGCTACGCGTTTTCAAGTCTCCTGTGGGACTTTGGACTTGGACTCTGGGGCAGTGCTGGAACTCCTGAGACTTTGGAGATGACCCACTTCATTTTGCACTGTGGGGTGAGCATGAGCTTTGGGGACCAGCAGCAGAAGTGATGGTTTGGATATGAGGTGTCCCCCCAAATTTCCCCTGTTAATCAGAAATAGTCAGAGGGAAAATGATCAGGTTATAAGAACTGTGGCTAATCAGTCCGTCCTGGCTTGAAGACTGAGTGGTGACCGTCGGCAGGTGGGCACGGCTGAAGGAGGTGGGTCACTGGGCATGCCCTGGAGGGGAGCATCTCCCTGCACCTCCACTTCTCTGCTTCCTGGCTGCTAGGAGCTGAGCAGTTCTCCTCTGC